GACAAAATAAAAAACGGCTTTGATCTTTGATGTCTAGCTTAATATTGCACTTAGAATACTCTATAAAAAACCAAATTGTTCATTGTTTTACCTGCTACAATTTTGTTCTTTATAAAATTTTCGATAAAACTTACATTTTTGGAGATATTTGCAAAAAACCGATGAAAAACGGGAAAAAATTTCGAATTTTCAATTGCCAATAACTTGAAAAGTATTGGATTTTTTTAAAAACTTTATAGATGATTTTTTGCTTAAAATTTATTACAATACCTCAAATAGGAAAACCACGCGAGCGTAGCCGCGGGTAACAGCTAGTGTTCCATATATTGAACAATATGATGATCGCCAAACGTCGCAGTACGTAAAACGCTAGTTAATTTGCTAATAGCTGGGTGGTGAAAAACGTCGAGTCATCTTTTTTACAATATTAGCGAAATGCGTAGCAGTATATCTACATATCTACCTGCCGGGATATTTTCGCGAGTGTTGTCTATAAAACCCCTTGTTGTTGTTTCGCTTGTCAAGGTTTGCGTTCACCCTGTCCTAAGCCTTGGCATTGACGCACGCATATTATTGTTGTGATACCACTTTATAATGCAGCTATTTTTATACCAATAAAATTTTGAATAGATTCAAGTTCGATTGTTGTTATTGAAGTCAGCCGCAATAGTAGTTTCACAACAACCTTAGTAAAACTTTTGCTGAAAAGGTTAAAACGCAACGCTTCTTGGTCATTGTCAAGTTTGCAGTGTGCGTGAAGCGTGAACCTTATGTAGTAAGTAGTATCTCACTCTCTGCCAACCTGGACCACTGGCCTGGAGAGGACTTTAGTTCCGTACAAACATCTCTATTAGTAGGGGAGCCCAAGCAGGGATTTTTGGATTTACTCGAACGCGGCAGAATAACATATGGGGAGCAACCTTGCACCTAGTTAAGTACTCCCACCATACCTGAGACCTCTATGTAGGGCCGAACGTCTAGGGCAGCAAAAACAAAATTTCAACGAACGGTCATGACTTTTGGTCGCGCCCAATTCGTCAGTCTTTTGAATATAAGCTACTAGAGGGTTCGGTCGGAGAAATATTGATCTGCCGCGATTTGCATGATATGGGGGTGGCCGTACGAAGGGGTAGAATATAAGGTTTAAAGAATTTTATTTCTCATACGAACTTACACAGACAGTTCACTTAAAATGAGATACATAACTAAAACTAATAACTTAATTGAAATGACGCAGCGCAGCTCCTTTATAAAACTATAATTTAGTATAATAGGTAAACAAACTATTGTTATTAGTACAAGCACAATACAAAAATGCAATCTGGCATGTTTACGAGCAAATAACGAATATAGGAAAAAATAACCGAGCGCGTCAGACATTGAGAAGGGATGTTACGTGAACCCTCCAGTAGCTCCTATTCAAAAGACTTGACGATTTGGACCCGACCAAAAGTCATGGCTCGTTTGTTGAAATTTTGTTTTTGCTGCCCTAGACGTTCGGCCCTACATAGATGGCTGAGGTATAGTGGGAGTACTTAACTACGTGCAAGGTTGCTCCCCATACGTTATTCTACCGATCTCGAGTAAATCGAAAAATCCCCACTTGGGCTCCCCTACTACATTACAAATATAGAAGAGGTCTCTTCATTACTTTTCAAGCATTTCTTGGAAAATCACTTCCACTGTCTCAAATAATACTCGATTTATTGTACAATCAAAAGATTATATACTTTTGAATTATGTAGAGACAGATCCTTTAATTTGGGATCCATTTAATTGAAATATAGTTTGAACATTCGCATTGCAATGAGGTTGAAATCTAATAAATAATAATAAAATATTTGAATCTATTTCTGAATATTAACCTCCTTTCTAGGCGTATATTTTTTTTTTCATATGTCGTCGCACAAGAAAATAAGCAAAAATAATCAAATTCAGTATATTTTTTAGAATTCTTATCAAAATTTTCACAAATTAAATTTAAATTTATTCCTTTTATTATATAATTTTTGATACTTAACTACCAATTTTATTAAGATTATCAGAAAGAACAGTGGGGAGTGGGCAATTTAAAAAGTAAGTTGATTTATTGGGAATTTCCGTACGCTTCTCGGGTCCGTAAGGTTGGCGCGTAAGTTGTCTCTACTGACATAATTTATACAGTGCTTTACGTTATTAAAGCAACGTATTAGACATGGGCGTTTTTGGTTTTGAACGCAAACGGATATTTATCGGATTTCAGATTTCAAAATCGATTTTAAAATCCGTTTTTAGATATCCGATTTCAGATGTGCCGAACTTAGCTAATTCACTAGTTTGTGTTATGATTTGGTTTTATTAGCTAACGACAATCACAAACAATTAATTGTAGGAAGCAAGGATACTCGTAGATTTTCGCGATTTTCCTTATCTAGGCTTAGGACTAGCAGAAAAGTTATGTTTGCGGTTAAGAGTAAAACTTTTGCGGCGCATTTAAAAACGGCTTTTATACAATGATTTCTTTTTACATATTTTTTTTTGTTTTTCTGTTTGTTTTTATTATTTTTCAAACCATTTACAAAATTACTAAAACTACAAACCGAATTACTTCAGGTTAGCGTCCAAAAATGTAAGTTGCTCGACTTTTGATGTTTTTAGACGACATATCTTTTCAGTGATAAATAATCCCGCCTCAGAGAAGAGCAATAGATTTCCGTAAACAGCGAATCGAAATCGGACTTCCGAGCACGAAATCTGACTTCCGAAAACGAAAGCACGAATTTCGAATCCGATTTACATTTGGATACTTGTGGTATTAGATCGCTAGCGATTTGGTTCGGTTAGATTTCTGAAATCGGATTTTCATGCTGAGAAATCGTTCGGTATCGATTTGTGTTTGAAATCGGATTTTGGATTCGTTTTGATATATCGGACGCATGCCTACAACGTATGTACGGTTTATATTTTATGTATTACTATAATGTCCGTATTAAGAAGGATTTGGAAAATAAAAGAAACACGTTTATGGTTCAAGAGCTCTATAGCGACGACTAAGGTAAAAATATACAAATATGGCATATACGCAATACAATTTGGTGTAGTATGGCATGATGTAGGGTACAGAATTACGCAGCTCAACAAAATATAATGTGTCCCTACAACGTATTCTGTCAAATTCGATTTTTAGGTAGATCTCAAATTAAAGAACGAGACTACATACTGCAGCGACTAAAACCATTTTGGAACTTGAAACATGGCTGAAACAATTACAGCGCCATCTATCGATCATGAACCCTCAACCACTGACGTATGTATTTTAAATATTGTTTTAAACTTTCATGGTCACTAACATTATAGCTATTAACGGGATTGTTACTATGTACGAACCACTGAATTCCAGACACTTGACAATTTAAACCCATCCTCACGATTGAAATTCTTGTGAACCGGTACAGATAAAAGTATGATACCAAATTCCATCAACCCGTTCTATTTGATAATGTTTCTACTACCATTTTTTTAAACTTTAATTTTGAGAACCCAAATATGTCTAATTCTGCAAAGTTTGTGTTATAATTAATTTGTGTTTGGGTGAAAACTTTCCCTTGTATCCATTTTTCTGTGAGACCCGCCGTACGTGCTCCAACTCGTCGTGCAGGTCGTGTTCCTTGTCACACAAGTCATATGCACCGTTCGTTAGTGAAGTGACTACATCCATTCACCTAAAACTTCAATAATATTACAGGACAATCCCTGAATTAGACGTATGATTGGTCATCCTACGTAGAACGAGACCAAACTTCTACAGGTTAAACCTCTCATTTGGACCGAACTTGGAATTCAAAGTAATCACTCTATATTGGTCCTATATATCTGACTTATTCATTCCTTACTCTGTATACGTATTAAATAGAAGGTTAAAGTTAAATCATTTCACTCAATTCATTGATGCAAGGTACATATTGATTTATAAGACTGAAAATCGATTCTTTGATTAATCGATTTGGATCGCCTCATACCTAAACATAGTCTCTCTAATCTGTGTCCAAGCCCAAGCAAGCAAACATGCATTATTAAGCCAGCAACATATTAACTTGTCGTGTCGTGTCGTGTCGTGTCGTGGCGCGCCAGAAGCACATCAGTTTCATACATTTACTATGGTCAGAGACATATTTACGTGTCGTGTAGTGTCGACTCCTTAACCCATAACAAATGTATGGAAGAAAGAAACCGATGCGTCACGACCAGGGTTGCCAAATCTCCCGATTTTATAGGAAATCTCCTGTTTTTTGACGTGACAACGTCTTAAATTAGGTTGCGGCTGGGAGTCACTTATGAAAAAGTGTAACGCTCGGTAACGTTACGATGAGTTTAAGTTTACATGTACAATGTTTTAGTAAACAAAATATATTTCTATAGTTAAAATTTGTGCAATTCTTATTTTCATTCAATTCCTTGTTCCTATTGTGCAATTTAATTATATTCATATCAATAAATATTCTACCGAGAAAAAGACGTTGTCACGTAAAATCTTCGCCCGTAAAACCGACTTTACAGACAACCATTTTTTTTTAATTTCTCCTGTTCTTCTGTACTTTCACATAAATGTACTGTTTTTCTTAGAATACGATTTTCTTTTTTAAATTTCATGTTGAGTTGTGTTTTCCACCATTAAAAATGTAGGTAACCTTAATTATAATAAAATAAATATGTTATTGTCTAAAAAAACGAGCTTTGAGGAGCGGCAGAAGCCACAGAAACACATTCGTTACTGGTCTATATCTTGATTTAATTAACGAATTCTAGGGGGGAGGGGGTGCAAAAATACGTCTCTGCATTTACTGATTTTTCTTATACCTCTTGCTCTTTCCGTACATCTACTGTTGTTTTCTATAACGCCTCCCGATTTTTAAAAATCACTAGTCACGACACGTTAATATGTTTCTGGCTTTAGTAGTCTGAGCAAACCATAAGCAAGCAAACAAATCTGTTGACTCTGTGCACAGACTAGTTAGAGATACTACTCTGTGGTGCAAGGTGCAAGCGAAGAAAAGTTTTTGTTATTTTTTTGTCAAGTGATTATGAATAAATTGTGAATTAAATTATGTCAGAACCAAGGCACCTACTTCGTACGTTGTCGAGTTAATTAATCATAAATCATGACAAAGTTGAGAGATTTAATGAAATTATTATTAATGCACAAAACAGTGTGATCAAGTGTAACCCGATCAAAGATAATGCCGACACAATGAAGGTTTTATCGCTGATATTAATGATTACAACCATTTTCGGTGTCCCTAAGATCTTGGCGCAAACCGATAACTGCACTAATGTTAATAACCGTGGTGATTACAAACTATGTGTCCGAAGCATAGCAGATTCATTGGCCAATAAATTTAATGAAACAGTAGTCAACGAATTGGGCAGCGAGTTCACAACACATTTTGAGATACGCAGTGTACATAAAGACGGCCGCTACCAAACTTCTGACAGTGATACTTTAACCAGTATATCCGACAAATTGAGATATAAGCTATCTTCAGCCAAAATTATTTTAAGTGAAATGATAAATGAAATTAAACGCAATAGTACTCCGTCCTTTACACATCCTTGCCCATTCAATTCGATACGTAAGTCTGTATTTATTAAGAGTTCCAATGTGTATGACAGTCTGTTAGTAGACCCTAAATCTAATATGATTAGTCGTTTCAAAGACCTGAAAGTGAAGAGACAGTATTTTCTTTCACATGTTGACTATGCAACAGACAGAAACTGTGCAGCTATGCCACATTCAAATTTAAGATATTTGTATCATAAGGTAATACATCCAGATCCAAAACTTGTGGTATTCATTATTGACAACAATGTTAATGTTGACTCATTACAACATGCAAAGAGTGTTGTCAAAGAAACAGCATATGCATTACAAAATAAAGATATGATAGCATTAAAGACTACAAATGCAACTGACTTTGTCAAGTTTGTAGATATATGCAATGGTGAAGTAAGTTTAGGAAATGCTACAGACAACAACAAACTCTCCCTGCGGGAATACTTATCGGCCTTGGATGTTGCTCCCGGAAATGTTTCACCTTTGCTAATAAACCAAGAGTTAAAAAGTATACTTGCTGAAAAATATTTACCAAGAAACAAATTGTTTATCCTCTTGACAGACGCAAAAATTTTAAAAAATGACACATGGCTGAGACTATTCCCTTACACAGAACAAGATCAGCACATGAAGTTTGCTATTGGGCTCATACATGAAAATCAGGATGATAAAAATAGTTCTCTAGGTATACTACATATTGATAAGTGGCATAATCATTCTAACAACCACTCAGTAATGAGACTTCATATTAATGACAGTGAAGTTGTGGGACAAGTTGCGTCAGCATTTATCTCATTGCTCTCAGGAAACTATCAAAACAGTGAAATGACAGTTGAAGACCCGGTTTGGGAAGCTACGGAAAGAGATTTTATGGTTTCGCTGGTTCTCCCCATGTCTGCTGGTGTACTTGGATTGGACCTTTATTGGTCAGACCTTGCTGAAGATATAGTTTATTTTAAGGGAATCAACAAAAACAAACGCGCTTTTGTAATGGATTTTTCCGGAATGGTAATCATGCATACTTTCTACCCTAGGCCAGAATCAACATCAGAAAAGATTAAATTTACATATCTTGAGAATATAGAAGCATATGATTTTATACATAAACTTAAGAGTGAGATGTTATCTAACAACTCTGGTGTTCTGACTATGATGGAACAAAATTCAACCAAACCCTTAATTTATTCCTGGAAACGGGTAGAAAATTTATATATTGTATGTATAGTAAATGAAGTAGTTGAACAGAATATTTTTAACAAAACTAATATATTTTTTACAAGAAGTAGTAAGGAGATATTGTTCCATAGACTTGACCTGTTTCCTCCTAAGACAGGCAAAATATGTAGACATTTTAAACAAATTGCTACTATTGATCAGGGCACTGTTTACCTAAGCCCTTCCAGTTTTCAATCTCCTTTTACATATCTGTATGATATGGGTGATGGTTCAGAGGCAATAACATACATGCAGAATTATTTAGCATATTTGAAAAGTTTGGCATATGGTCTCCTCTCTAATCCTGGTTTAAAAAATGAAATTCAGCAAGATGTTAATTTTCTTAATTCTATATTATCATTTTATAAAAGACAGCACTTACATGGCATCTACTCTAAGTATGTTGTTAGAAGATATGCAGTTACTGAAAGTGGTGTGCTTGTGATGTTCCCAGGAACAGTGCTTGAATATGACTATGAGCCAGTCAGAAGGCCATGGTACACATATGCTTTAGAAAACCCTGGAAAAATAATATTAACTCCTCCTAACTTAGATGTAGGTGGAGCAGGGTATGTGGTGAGCATCTCCTATGCAGTAAGAGGGCCTTTTTACCCTACAATGGTGGTGTCGATGGATGTAACCATGGGCTTCCTTTATAAGCTACTTATTGATAGTCTCCCACTTTGTGCCATGTCTTACATTAAATGCTTTATTATGAATAACAGGGGTTACTTAGTTTCACATCCAGGTCTGATGGATCCCAACAGTTCTGGACCAATAGAACAACAGCATATTACTCATAAGGAGTCTATGATTGCAAATGACATGTTAAATCACAAAGGCTTTGTTACTAAGCAATTGTGTAACAACATTTATGATAAGACAATACAAAGGTATTATGAGTTCAATACATCTTTGCCTAATGTGCTGTCTAATGTTGTTTCAGGTGATCATTGTGTTCACTATTATATTGCTGCTATTCCTGGTACTAATGCATTTGTTGGTCTTGTAAATGTTTCCTGCAGTGTAGGAGCATTTTGTCCATGCAGTATGAGTGATCGTCTTTGCTTTAATTGTAACCGAATGGAGCAGACTGATTGTGAATGTCCTTGTGAATGCAGTTCTGAGTTATATGAGTGTCCAAACTCAAATTCAACTAAATCAAATCAGGATAATATCCCATTATGTGGCATGATGCCTGAAAACAACAATCATAAATCACATTATTTCCACAACTTTGCAGAAAATCTTAAATCTTGTTTCGACTTTCAATGTGAAAGTTATGTGACTCATTCCTCCTGCTTGGGCGTCTTAGGCTGCGAGTGGTGCCAAATTGATACGGATGCTCGAACTCCTCTTTCTTCACCATTTTGTACTTCCCAATCTACTTGTTTTAACGGCGTACTCGGCGCCGTCACTCCATATGGCGAAGGGACCTTTGGGCAGGTTAATAGGGATGCTCTAGTAGGCTATTCAGCAATAGGTCCAATAGCAGGGTGTATAGTTACTGTTAGTTTAGTAATAGCAGTTGCTATATATTGCTACAGACAAAATGTGACAACAGCTAGTTGCCATAATTTATATGTGGATGGTCCAGCAGAAACTTGGCACGATGCTGAAGTTCAGATGAGCCACATGCAATCAGATGACATGCATGACCAGTCAGGGCAAGACAAGTTGCTCCCTGCTATGGAAATTGAAGCTCCCATTTCCCCCTATAGAATAGTGACAGGTTATAGACGCGCGCACACAGCAGGGGGTTCTGACCATGGCTATTCCACTATGACACCCCATGAAGATTCTGAAGCTACAGGTTTCTCTGTAAATGATCCCACAATTTTATCCGATGACACTAAGTCTGATGTTAGTTGCCCACTTCCAGCTAAAATAAAACCAAGGTTAAAACCCATAGATTTAAGTGTTACAGTGTTGCCATGTGGTAAAAATAGCATAATAGCGCCAGTAACTGTTCACAGGCACATGGAAGCATCGTAAAATAAAATATTTTGTATGGATGCGCACATCTACCTCCTTTGTATATAATTTTACTTAGTTTACTATATTATTATTGATGTGACAAGTTTAAGTAACTGCCTTTTTTATAATTTTTTAACTTTATTGATAAGTTTACACAGATGGCTACATATATAGTTAACAAAAACTGTAAGTCTTTCTTTTCTTATTGATTTTGAATATTACATTAGCAATATAAAGATCATAGTCAGTTGGAGAAATTTGAGTTTTGGATAACTTGATATGTGGCTGCCTGTATCTACGTCAGAAGAACCCTTTGTCGTGTTTATATTTGTAATGGCCTGCGCAGAAGAGGAACTTTTATCCACCAAAATAGATCACTAACAACTGCATCGAGTGACGCACACGAAGGATTAAAAGTACCGTGTACAAAAAGTCCCCCGAACAACCGGGGACACCGAGAGACCAGACTGAACAAAGTACGGGGTGTCCCGGAAAAATATAACTCATGTGACTAGGCGCAGCAACGCCAACAGCCAACTTTAGTCTGCGCTGTGCGCGCTTGATCGATCGGATTTAAAGTCTATTCTCCTTCTACCTACTATTCTCTTTTTCATAAACTCCATGTTAATTACAATACAGCATAATCTGAAAATATTTACTTTCGTAGCGTGCGCTTCTGTTAATTTTGGGGGAAACAAAAAACACCTGTTTTCGCACGTATTCTTTTTCTCCTTCGCGAACAAAAGCCCCTCCTCTGCACAGGCCATAAATGTTACTTAATTGCATGGTGCTTAGTTATTTAAACCGTATTATTGGTGTTCGTAAAACCAAGATCTTGTTTGAGAAGATGGTGAGATCTTCAATTTTATATTACCATTGTATTGTTTCCTTCAATGACCGGTGGTTCTGTTGCTATCTTACAATTCCTAGTATTAATCTTGAGTAATGCTCTGGTACAAACATAAGTAATATTTTTTACTATACTTATATTTTGCAGTCGTTAGACTCGTTAGTGAAACAGGGTAAGACACGGACCTAGCTAGGGTTTCGCTAGGGTAAGATAAATAATTGTACATATATGGCACGTTTGTTCTACGAACATCGCTGTTATGTCTACGTAATAAAAGCGTTGTCAATCTTACATGGCATTCTTAAACGTTGTCGACTGAAAAAATATGATGAACTTTTATGAATTTGACTGATAAATAAAATTGACACCTGAGCTGTATTGTTTGTAAGAATTTACAAGGCTTGCGTTGTTTTCCACTAATAACACATTTCCGCCTCAAAAGTCAGTGAAGTATTTACAATTATTAAGAATTAATTTCTTATGTGGAAAGCATAATAGTTGAGGGCTGTACTTAGTAACTAGTATGTCTACATTTTATGTTTTATTTTTTGTTGTTTTCTTGACTTGATACTTAGTTATTTAATAGTTTTTGTAAGAATATGTGCCTGTTGTATAAATATTTGTAATACTAATTTAATTAAGACTGAATTCGATGTTGCATTTACTTGGTGTAATACATTTTTTTCCTATTGAAAGTGATTTTAATAAATTGATCGATTCGTATTGTGGTTGCTTAAGAACGTAATTTTACAACTCCGTAACGTAAGAGCAAACTAGATTTTACCATACAAAATTTGACGATTACGATACTTTGCGGTGCTGTCAAGAATTTTGAATATAATATTTGACGAAGACGATACGAATAAATAACGGCTGGAATCAAACGAACGTCCATCGCTTTTCGGGCGAATGAACTCGCACCGAACACTATTATTGAGACTATCGGACATATAGTATTCCTTCTAGTAGGTATATCTTAGCTTGCAAGTAAGCGTCACCCGTCATTCACACCCAACGGGTCTATGAATTGTATTGTGGCGGGCGCGGCGCGAGCTAACAGACGCGCAGTGTCTGCGTGCAACAACTTGGCTTCTACATTAGCCTATTAATGTCTCCACTGCTGGGGCACAGGCCTTTCCTATGGATGGAATAGGGAGATTGGGCCATGACACACCACGCGGGCCCGGTTTAGATTGGTGGGTGCTAACTACTGCAGATGCAGCCGGGACCAACGGCTTAACGTGCCTCCCCAAGCACGGAGAAACTCGAGATAGAAGATTTTTGGTCACCCATTCAATGACCGACCACTGCGAATGTTGCTTCATTTCAACGATCGCAGCCTAACCCACGCCATCGAGCTCCTTAACTTGGTTGGGTAGGATTTTTTCCACCTGTCAAGGCATGGATGTTCAAATGTCATAATATGAACTCGTGGTTTTCGCGCACGACCATGCTGCGTCTCCTCGTCTCCATTCAGAAGCTTAAACACGAACAGAGAGCTCGGTAATCGAATAGCATCGTCTAAGGGTCAATTTATACTAGCGTAGAGTCGAAGTGCATCGAAGCGTAAAATTCTTCACAACTAAAACGAAGTTGTACGTATTCGCGAGATTACGCTTTTATCAGCAGCAGTGCTATTGCATCACTTGCCAGTTGATCTATCATCACAGGATAATTTCAGACTGATGACGCCTAGGTTCGTTAGTGAGCGCGCGATTCGCGAGAATGTGCGCGCACCAATCAGCGGTGGTCTCGCGCGGACGCGCGAATTCCGTCGAATGAGCGCGCGTCTATTTATATCGCCGAAGTAATGTGTGTCAGCTGTCGAGATAAGGTTGAATTTTTTATGTTAATAATTGGATCTACGCTTCGACTCTGCGCTAGTATAAATTGACCCTAAGTTTCTATAAAGCAGCTTCTCTAGCAGACCTAAAAACAACTAGCCTTTTCCATACAAAATACGATGATGAAATTATTTTTTTATATACAGTTGTTAAAATCCGGGCCTCCGAACGCGGCCGAAATTGTGGCCGCTTGGCCTAGTAGTTAGTAACTGTCATGCAGGGGGAGTGTTTACCCTACGGCCAAGAGCGCTCGTTACAGACCTTTATTTTGATTTAATTTACTAATGCTAGAGCGGATAGGGTTCAAACTGCAAGTGGCCCGGGGCGCTAGATTTCAAAAATACGCACCTGCTGTCATGGATGTTCAGTACTGTAACGTCCGTTACGTTACAGCGTCTTTGTTTGGATAAACTCTTTGTTCATGTAATGCCTACGGCTGGCAGTTATATTAAAAAGGTAATGTCATGATTTTTAAATATTTGAAATTGGGAATCTTCTGTCGTTTGATAGAAGATTCCATCAGATAGACGTCAGGCACTAAACCATGTGTTAATAGATTAAGCTCTTTTATTATATTCGCCTGAAATCAAATATAAAAAATATCAAATCAAAGTTGTTTCAATTATAAAGTTACGCTCCCAGGGCCTACCCCTTTAGGGTAGATCGCCGCAGTACCTAATAAAGTATGTTTATTATAATGGTTCATACCAATAGCTTAGATGATTGTAGTGAATAATGGACACATTTATTTTCAAATTCTCTTTAATTACTTAATTTACGTTATACAATTCCGGCGTTTGATCATGCGTGGCTATTCGTCGTCGAAGCGTAGATGCGTGTGCGTAGGCTGCGGCGAGGCGGACGCCCGCAGCGGTCCGCAGGCGGCGGGCGGGGCGGATGCGGCGCGCGCCAACCAACGGTCTCGACAGCGCGGGCGGCGGTTCGACCGCGCAAACTGTAAGTGGCCCGGGGCGCCAGATTTTAAAAATACGAATGCGAGTTTATAATAGACACATTTATTTCAAATTCTCTTTAATTACTTAATCTTAGTTTTACATTTCCGGCGTTTGATCGTGCGTGGCTATTCGTCGTCGAAGCGTAGATGCGTGTGCGTAGGCTGCGGCGAGGCGGGCGCCCGCAGCGGTCCGCAGGCGGCGGGCGGGGCGGGTGCGGCGCGCGCTAACCAACGGTCGCGGCCGCGCGGGCGGCGGTTCGACCGCGCAAACTGTAAGTGGCCCGGGGCGCCAGATTTTAAAAATACGAATGCGAGTGAATAATAGACACATTAATTTCAAATTCTCTTTAATTACTTAATCTTAGTTTTACAATTCCGGCGTTTGATCTTGCGTGGCTATTCGTCGTCGAAGCGTAGATGCGTGTGCGTAGGCTGCGGCGAGGCGGGCGCCCGCAGCGGTCCGCAGGCGGCGGGCGGGGCGGGTGCGGCGCGCGCTAACCAACGGTCGCGGCCGCGCGGGCGGCGGTTCGACCGCGCGGTTTCTGCGCGCGCCCACTGCTGCGTTTCTTCGTCGCCATGGAGGACGCGAGCTCGGCCGCCTGCGTTCGCGCAATACTGGAACGTACGATAAATTAAGGGTCGGTACATATCTGACCAAAAATACGTTGCGTATTATCAGTCGCGTAACGCCATAACAGGAAAATCTATATATATAAAAACTCAAAGGTGACTGACTGACTGACATAGTGATCTATCAACGCACAGCCCAAACCACTGGACGGATCGGGCTGAAATTTGGCATGCAGGTAGATGTTATGACGTAGGCATCCGCTAAGAAAAGATTTTGATCAATTCTACCCCCAAGGGTATAAAATAGAATGAAAGTTTGTATGAAACTTTGTCAATTTTAAACCAATCGGGCTGAGACTTTGCATGCAGGTATAAGAAGAATCATAGAGGAATGTCATTGTGTATAATACAAGCCTGAGAACAAAAATTGTAGTCTACACTTCAGCTCTACACCGAAGCGAAGCGAGCGAGAGAGTATATAATAAAACATTCAACCTTTTACACCCAACTAAAGATGCGTTAGTGCGTCGAGGGGGGTCATGTAATTCGCATCCGTGGGAGACACCTAACCACTACCCCACACGTACCTCCTGGGTGGTGCTAAAGGAATTACAACGCCGGGCCTCGGGCGGCGGTTAAGTAACCCGACATAGAAGACCTGATAAGTCCGACTGGAGGATGGTAGGAAATGACCAACCCACCCGCAACCGCATATGCGATCGGGGATCTTGGCTTAATCGCCCGGATTGCGGGAAAGATATTCTCTATAATAAATTCCCTAATCCTATGGTGGGAAACGTGCCTAAAGGATGAATGGCTAGTAGGCAACTAGTTGATAGCGCCAACCGCGACTGACCTGGCAAAAGTCGTGAGTATTTGCCTTCTTGAGGGGATGGGCGTCACCCCTCTTGCGACCTTTTTATTTCGTACCATACTCGTGGGAACCTCATGGAAAACACAGATAATAAAAATGAAAAACATAATAATAATAAAACACCAAACATGTACCAACAAATTCTTCTTCCCAGTATGTTTGAGAGAACCAGAAGCAGCTCACTGGGATCACTACCACAGGAGACACATCTACCTGTAAACGAACCAAATATTAAAGATAAACAGGACAATACAAACAAGGATGATTGGCAAAGAGACAAAACTCCAGTTAAAAGATATAAAAGGAAGGAAACGAGTCCAAAGCCGAACAACACAAATAAGAAGCAGAAATATAATATACCTACAAGCAACAGTTTTGACATTCTCAATGATGTATCTACAAAGGAAACCAATACCGTCAACACTACTAAAGAGTATGTGCCAAAACCAGAACCTATTTTCATCACAGGTGTACTAAATGTATCCTCCCTAAAGGACATACTTAATAAATTTGTAGAAAGTTCTTTGTATACTATGACTACGCTAAGATCGGGGCATGTTATTAAAATAATGCCAAAGGATATTCAAACATACAAAACTATCAGGGAAAACTTTATATCTCACAACATCTCACACTACACATATCAACTCAAGAGCGAGAGAGCATACAGAGTGACTCCATGCTTCAGAAGACACTAATGAATTAGCAAAAGAATTAAAAGAAATAGGGCACACAACCAGACAAATAGTTAACGTACGACACCGAGCTACAAAAGAGCCTCTACCTATATTTTACATAGATCTTGAACCAAACCAAAACAACAAGGACATCTTTAATGTAAAATACCTGAATAACATGAAGATTACCTTTGAAGCTCCGTATAAAAAGAAGGACATTATACAATGCAAACGGTGCCAGAGATTTGGTCACTCGAAAAATCAATGTTTTAGGCCTTGCCGTTGTGTCAAGTGTGGCAGTAATCATCTCACTACAACTTGTACTAAAAAACCTGAAACTGAAGCCACCTGTGCAAACTGTGAAGAGAAACACCCAGCCAGCTACAAAGGATGTAAAACCTATAAACAATATAAAGAACGGATTCTAAAGACTGCTCCTAAAAATAAAGTAAACCAAACTACAGCTAAACCGCAAATTAAAGACTACACACATTATACAAAACCTTACCAACCTAATCCAAATAAAACATATGCGGATGTTACTAGGACAATACCAACATTTCCACAAATAGAAAGAAAAACCGAAATAGACGATATAGCAAGCATAATGGATATTATGCTGGAGAAACTGCAGCATTCAATTAGTCAGCAGCCTAGTTAAAAAATGAACCGTCTTCGAGTTGTAACTTGGAACGCCAACGGCTTGACGGAACGACGCCAAGAACTCGAAACTTTTCTTCTTACAAAGATGATTGACATAGCATTAATATCTGAAACGAGGTTTACCCCTAAGACACACATCAAATTTGATAATTTCATAATGTACACAACCAATCACCCTTCGGGAAACAGTCATGGTGGTACTGCAGTCCTTATTAAAAATAACCTGAAACATTTTCCTACAGAAGAATATCGCACTGAAAAAATACAAGCAACATCAATAAAGCTTGTGTCTAAAAAAGTTGAGACAGTTTTTTCTGCTGTCTACTGTCCGCCAAAACACAACATTACAACTAAAGACTTCAGTGACTACTTTTCTTCGTTGGGCACTAGATTTGTTTGTGGTGGTGATTGGAATTCAAAGCATGTACACTGGGGTTCCAGGCTAATCAATACGAGAGGCAGACAACTCTATAAAGTAATAGAAGAGGCGAAACTGCAATATTTCTCCGGGAGGGACCCTACCTACTGGCCGACTGATAGGGGCAGGGTACCTGATCTTTTGGACTTCTATATTGCAAAGAATGTAGATAGCAATTATGTAAAGATTGATCAATGCATTGACCTTACATCAGACCATACACCAGTCATCTTAAGCATCGATTCAAATGTAGTGCTTGTGGAACTTCCATCTAAAATATATAACCCTAAAACCACAAACTGGGAAACATATAAGCAATTGATTACTTTTGAAACAAAACTAAAAAACCTTATTAGTTCAGCAGAAAAATTGGAAAATGAGATTGAATGCTTTAACATGATTATTCATAACGCCGCTTCCATAGCTACTCCCATCAATAAAAATGAAGGTTTACCTCCTAAAAATAATCCCTATCCAAAAGACATCAAAGAAAAAATACTAAAGCGACGCAGACTACGTAAACAATGGCACATAACTGGTTATCCGTCCGATAAAACTGCCTTTAATAAATACTCGGAAGAACTCAAAAATCACTTCAACAGTATAGAAAACAACAATATACAACACCTGCTTTCAAACTTAAGTCCCACTAATGACACAGACTACTCGCTGTGGAAAGTAACCAAAAATTTAAAGCGCCCTAAGGTACACATCCCAGCTATCAACAACAACAAGGGAGAATGGGCCAGATCCGACAAGGAGAAGTCAATTGGTTTCGCAGAACATTTATGCTCTGTCTTCCAACCGCATCCGGACTGTGGTCATGAACAGAATGTGAAAGTTAAAGAATATCTTGAGTCAGCAAACCAAATGTGTCTACCCCTCAAATGTACTAGTCCTAAAGAAGTAATAAGGGAAATAAAAAATCTACATGAAGGTAAAGCACCTGAAAATAGCGCAGGTGGTAATGGTGCCTAAACCAGGAAAACCTCCCCAAGAGACAACATCTTACAGATCTATCAGCCTGCTGTCAGTGGTTGGAAAACTGTTCGAGCGGATATTACTTATTAGAATGAGGGAATTCCTTAACGAAGTAGTGCCCAAACATCAGTTCGGATTTCGCGAGAAGCACGGGACCATCGAACAAGTACACCGCATTGTCGATATTATAGGTGGATGTCTCGAAAACAAATTATACTGCTCTGCAATCTTCCTAGATGTAAGCCAAGCATTCGACAAGGTTTGGCACGAGGGTCTGATGTTCAAACTTAAGCAAATGCTTCCGCACTGTTTATTCCACATTTTAAATTCTTACCTTAACAAAAGAAGCTACCAGGTGAAATGCAACGATGAGCTTTCTGATCTACATGAAATTAAATCAGGTGTCCCACAAGGCAGCATACTGGGATCCATCTTGTACCTAATATTCACCGCAGATATCCCGACATCTGATAATATAACAACTGCTACATACGCTGATGACACCGCATTGCTAGCTACTCACAGTGACCCAAAAACTGCTTCACTTAACTTGCAAAAACATCTAGGCAAGGTGGAAAAGTGGTTCAAACAATGGAAAATAAAAGCAAATGAAAGCAAATCTACGCACGTTACATTTGCTCTAAGAAAAGAAACTTGTCCCCCTGTAAAATTAAACAATAAAGATATACCAAAAGCAGACAATGCAAAATATCTAGGAATGCATCTGGACAGGAGACTCACGTGGCAAAAGCATATCTGGACTAAGAGAAAACAACTCGATGGAAAACTCCGCAGTTACAGCTGGCTGATTGATCGAAACTCACAGCTAAACGACAGCAGCAAAATGCTTATATACAAAGCCATATTGAAACCAATATGGACATACGGCATACAACTATGGGGAACCGCTAGCAATAGTAACATAGACATCCTGGAAAGATTCCAAACTAAAGCATTACGGACAATGTTCGGTATCCCCCAGTGTATCAGCAACAAGTATATTTACTTAGACCTTAAAATAAACACAGTTAGGCAAGAAATAGCCCAGTACAGTACTATCAGTCAAGGCTTGCTATACATGTAAATGAACTGGCTAAAACACTTAGTGGAGGGGGTGGTATACAACATGCCCGTTTGAAACGACATGACATTCCGACTCTGATCGAAAGATTTACCAGCCAAAAAGAGAGTTCGTATTAAAGAATTTTACTACTAGACTTGGCTCTCGTGGAAGTTTAAAATGCCCAGATCTAGGATCAGCCAAAGAAATGGCTTATTGTTATAGAACAGATTGCCATTTAGCAGAGAACCAAGAAAAAAAAAAAAAAAAAAAAAAGTGCGTCGAGCATACAACGATGATACGCTCGACGCATTTTCCGTTAGATATGTACCGACCGTTAGGCTGCAGTGGCGGATTTACCAGCAGGCTAAGAGTAGGTTTGAGCCTCTACGCTCTAGCGTAAAGGACATTGTTCAGCGTCCATACATAGTTAGCCTAAGAACCAACAATCATAAATTATTTTCTAGGTTCATAATCGTAAGTAAATGACTGTAAAAACAAAGATTATTGACGGACACTTCTAGGAACTTAAATTATTTGGAAAACTAATTTTTTTTGAAGTTATGTTTAATATTCAATGAAACATAGGTCAACCTATGAATTTTATTTATTGCTTCTTATTTATTGACTATTTTTCACATAATTGTATCATATTATTTATTGTATTTATTTGTATATCACATGTAGGTATATTGTGTAAATATGCAGCGTGAATGTGTATCAGGTGTTCTTGAATAATTTGGCAGTATGATCCTCTCAGGATGTTATGGCACAGGTTCACTAGCACTTGGTAATAAGGGCTCTGCTCTTTGGTAACATCGATGGCATATTAGATAGCCGAAATAGTTAAATTAAAGGAAAAACAATCGCAAATAAACACACACAACAGGTAATCCGAAACGAGAATGCACTTTCCGGTTTAATATACTACTCTTTGGAATGCACGAATGATGCCACAGATTACTACGAATGCAAACTGCATGCACCACAACCACAGAGTAACGAGTTTTATGCCGGCCCTTCACTTGACAACAGTTTGTCCTTGTCATGCTTAATAAGGAATGAAAACGACAGACTGATGTCATGTTTTAAAATAGCAAATACGAATAGCCAAGTGAAGTGCCGGCATTAGGAAGAAAGGTGTTTTGTTTGCAGCGCTGCCATAGATTATACACATAAAATGGTATTTATTGTCTCAGATTATTTTTTAACTTTATAATTTAGCTTACTTAACTGGAAGTGTCCGTCACAATCAAAATACTGATAATTATCGCAAAAAATATACTAAGAATTATCATAAATGCCAAATTGGTGTTGGTTTTTAGGCCAATTTTAACATTGTCCTTTAGGGCCGATTCATTTTACATAATTATGAGGTATTAGAGAAATAAATTTATATAATTGCACGGCGTTTTTCTGATGTCCTACAGATAGAAGTCTGTAACAAATTTTGCCGATGGCTTTCCTGTCATTGCACATTCTCAGATTATCAAACTTGCATATTTTAAATGAAAACAGCTAGTTCGCACTTCTTGGTTCACAGTCACGCGCGGACCATTAAAAAGTCAAGACGCTGCAGATCTCCGTGAACAAATGCGAAAAAATACCTATAGCACGTAAAGTGTGGTTTCTTCAACAGTTATCTAACGAACTGTCATAACTCTTTGACGCATGCGTTTAAATTAAGACCTTATAAGGTATGCATTTAAAGTGACTTTCCATGTTTAAAAAAAATCTTATTGTTTTAGACCACGCCATCATCTTACGGAGCTCCGTGGATCGTCCAATGTACCTTTTGGACACGTTTTGGCCACGATTTTGTTTGTGTTGCTGTATCTAGGGTATTTCATATCGTTGCATGCGAGTCTCCGTTCAATCGTAATAGGTAGTAAGCGGGGAGTGGATGTACAAAGTTATTTTCACGATTGCACGATCGATACTCATGTCTTATACGGTAGGAAGTGCTTAGCAACCCTCAATCAAGGGTGCTCATTACTTGAAAATTACCCATGAAACGGTCTCGATTTCAAAGGAAAATGATGCGATTTTGAATGACTGTTATAGGTAAAATTACAAAATATATACGATTTCGGAACAACCGGCGTGTCGATCGCATTTTTTACGCCCCGCCTACTGATCGCAGTTTGCGTGGAGCCGCTTCTTAGCGCAGTTCGTATTCCATATTATTTCTAATTCGTTGTTTACAACTCACCTCTTCAGCAGCCTTAGCAGAATCAAATCTAATTATTAAGTCTGACTGGCCTTCTTTGGCATCCACATGTTGAACATGAATATTTGTTTTTACCTGAAAATCAAAATATTTCCTTATTAAGTAAGCATATTTCGTAAGTAAAAATAATACCTTAATATGTTCATGGTAAGGATAACACTTTTGTAAAAAATCTTCACCATCACCAGCCTATTAATGTTCCCACTGCTAGGGCACCGGCCTTCCCTACGGATGGAATAGGGAGATTGGGACATAAACTACCACGCGGGCCCGATGCGGATTGGTGGGTGCTAACGACTGTAGATGCAACCGGGACCAACGGCTTAACCTGCCTTCCGAAGTATGGAGGAGCTTAAGACAGTAAATTTTTGATCACCCATCCAATAACCGACCACTGCGAAAGTTGCTTAACTTCAACAATCGCAACCTACCGCGCTAACCCCTTGCCTCATCGAGCCGCTTCTTTTTTCATTATTACAAAAAATCAAGTTCATTTTAATTCCAAAATCTTAATTCGTAAGATGACAAACGCCTGACATTGGCGAAATATAAAATGACGTCACACACTAGTAAACTTCTAGTCGAAGTGACATTACATTGTATCCTTTGACGTTTTAAGGACAGTTGTGTGATGTCACATACCAGTGTTACGCCATAAAGTCCAGAGAATCGTTTTCACGGCAACTTAAAAAATTTTTTTTTACAATGATGAATATACATTTTTTATGGAATCTATTAATATTAGTAAATAACATGAGATCGTTTTCTAAAACTTGTCAAATACCCTAATCTTCTGCTACAATAATATTCTAGAATACACACAAAGTGCTATATAATGTCCACAGCATACAAGATGCAGCTCGAGTTTAAAATCTCTATAAACATCACTAAGATAGTCACACCTCAGCAAAGCTTTTTCTAGCATTAATTGGGCTTGAGATATTGTCACGAACACTCTCGAACCAAAACCACGAAAATACTGGAAACAGATTTAAATAGACCGCCGCGGTTCGCGTAATGAATGACCTCAATAAAGGTAAGAGTGGTGCGATCCATTCTAATATATGAGTCTTATGCAGTAAGTGCAACAAAACGGTATAATAACGCATCTGGTCAAACTACTTTTTTTTGGAGTCCGGAGGTTTTAGGCCTGAATAGCGGAATTTGAATCTCAAATAATTTTCAATCAAAACCGCCTAACACATTGTTAAAATTACTAAATTCATAAATTAAATACCATGCCAAAAGCTCACTGGAGGTATCTATCTCATTCAGTTTTATACAGTTCCTGTAAAATTAAATTTAATGTAATTATACCGTTTTGTTCGGCAGCTCCTCATATGTAGTCTGGCAATCCAAAGTTGCTAGTTCATTGCTGTTTATAATTATGTCCTGTTCTTTGGTAAGGTTTTTACTATCAGAACTGGAAAAACTGCTGGTGCCTTCTATGCTTTTCTTCACACTCAGTTCACGTTTTTTTTATAATTTTGTCTCTGTTTTTTTTTTATAATTATTCTTTTTTTTACTTACCGTCCTTTTAGTCTGCCTAACATCTAAACATGGCTCGGGCAAGTCTTCTTTAACAAAAACACCTGGTATTTTTTGCAGAGTGTGTGCGTTTTTTATGCCACATGTCTGGATTGGATTTATGTCTGAAAATTAATAAAATTTAATATTACTTCAAGCTGAGAGTTTTTGCATCAAATGAATTATTTCAGATTCGTGACAAAACTGCTTGAAAAAAGTTTCACTTTACAAATCAATTAGTTTCAGGTGTCTCAGTTAATTAAAAAAAAATAAAAAAAAAATAATTTGTTTCCATAAAAATCTTGAAAGAGTAATTTGATTCTGACCCACAATAACTTCATAATTCCAACGGCGACGACCTCCGTGGCCGAGTGGTTTGTAGGTCGGGTTTCATGGTGTCGCCAACTCGAGAGGTCCCGGGTTCGAATCCAGGTGGGGGCAGATGTTTGTGTGATGAATACGAGCATTTGTACTCCATTCATGGATGTTTAATATGTACTATATATGTATTCTATCCGTTACCCTAGTATCCCATAACACAAGTCTTACAGTGCTTACTTTGGGGCTAGGCTAATTTGTTTGTGTTGGAAATATTTATTTTATTTATATTTTATGTATTGATTGCCCAAATATAGTGTAAAAGACAAATATGGTCCTGATAATGAGCAGAATACGTGGTTCTCGGCTATGTAGAGGGTATTTTTACACCCTGTAATTGAATGAATGAAATGAAGAATGAACTTACATCTATTACATGTATTTAAATGAATGAATGAATGAAAATTTAAGGGAAGTGAAAGAGTATTTAAGTAGCGATTTACAGCTAAGTCTACCTATCAAACACTTCATACCCAGAGAGCTATGGAAAGTCATTCGAACACTTAAACCAAAAAAGGCTCCCGGCTACGACGAACTGACTGCTGAAGTACTTAAAAAACTACCTAAAAAGGCTGTTGTATATCTTGCTGCTCTCTTTAACGGTATTCTTCGTTTATCGTATTTCCCGAAATCATGGAAGGTGTCATATATCGTTATGATACCTAAACCTGGCAAAGACCACTATGAGGTGTCATTCTATCGACCTATTAGCTTACTGCCCATACTCTCTAAATTGTTTGAAAAGGTATTCCTCACTCGCTTAATTACACTGGTACAAGACAAAAAGCTAATACCTGATCATCAATTCGGGTTTCGAGAGCGACATTCTACTGTAGAACAAGTTCACAGAGTGGTCAGTCAGATAAGATCGGCCATGGAGCAGCGCCAGTATTGTTCTGCCGCCTTTATAGACGTTCAACAAGCTTTTGATAAAGTTTGGCACGAAGGCTTTTTATACAAAATTAAGAGACACTTTCCGCACAACTTTTTCACTCTCATCAAATCGTACTTAGAAGATAGAATGTTCCGAGTAGTTGAATACCGTTCCGGATTCTACGAAATAAAAGCAGGTGTCCCGCAGGGATCTGTGCTCGGGCCTATGTTTTATATACTGTTTACCGCAGATTTACCTGACTCACCTGAAATACTATCTGCCACATTTGCAGATGATACAGTGGCACTGAGTTGCAGCAAGGATCCGAGAATTGCTTCTCAGAAGTTACAAGCACATCTCACAACCATTGGCCAGTGGATGGAAAAATGGAAGATAAAGGCGAGTGCCTAAAAATCCACTCATGTACTTTTACGCTGAAGACTGGAAATTGTCCACCATTTAAGCTTGGAACAGAACAGCTTCCACAATGTGATGTTGCTAAATACTTGGGGATACATCTTGACAGAAGGCAAACATGGAAAACCCATATTCAAAAGCAAAGGGATGAACTAAATATTCGCTTTCGCTCACTCCTTTGGATAATGGGAAGACACTCGCGTCTCAGTTTGAATAAAAAGCTTCTCATTTATGACGCGGTATTAAAACCAATTTGGACTTACGGCATCGAACTTTGGGGTACAGCGAGTAACTCGAACCTAGAAATCCTGCAGCGATTCCAAAACTCATGTTTCGCACCATGCTGAATGCTCCATGGTTTGTGAAAAGCACAGAAATGCATGACTACTTGCAAAGCAACACTATCAAGGACGAAATAAACGCTATAGCTAAGCGCTATCAGGGCAGACTTGTTCACCATGTTAATAAACTTGCGGAGATGAGAGAAGAGCTTTTTGTTGAAAAGGCCATCTCGCACGCCCGAAAAGTCATTGAAATGTTCTGCTTATAGTGTAGACTGATCGCAGAAAGCGGTAACACAAAAAAAAAAATGAATGAAATGAAGAATGAACTTTGTATCCATTGCAGGACATAATAAAATCAGTTATTTACCTGGTTCAGCCTCCACGGATGGTGCTGCAGGAGCAGGTATACTGGCATAGGCATGCCTCTTATTATGTAGGCTCGATTTAATTTGTTTCATGTACTTCCTTTGCAAATTTAAGTATTTATTCCTAAGTGATTTCCATTCGGATTTAGGCAGCACTTGAAGGCCCCACAAGGCACCCGGTGGTGCTTCATTTTTATTCAATCCATTCTTTGCTTTACTTTTATCTTTGGCCAACTTTTTTCTCATTTTCTTTTTCTTCTTACTATCATCCTCTGATTGTCCTTCATCCTGAGTTGTTACTTCATCTTTTGAATCCATATCCAGAGTTTTGTTCTCCTAAAAGTGGGGTAAAGTATTAATTTTTTTGCTAGATTTGTTTTCATATAAGATAAAGTTATTTTTTTTTTATAATTTTATAAGTTGCAATAACGTAAAAGTATTTTAAATATCATTTAATTGTTGTACATGACACTGTCAGTGCTATAAATAGGATTATGTTGCAGATAGCTCATGAAGAAAAACAAGTGTGCTGCCTTCCCCATACTTGTCTTGGGGTCCTGAACTCAATCCCCTATCTCGTGTAGCCCTGCAACTTTAGGCCCGGAGCACATTGGCGGCACGGCACGGCATGGGATCCTTCGGCATCCCTACATGGAAGGGCACACTGGCGGTAACAATGCCGTGGTATCCTTAGGTATGCCTCGACGTCCGAGGCGAGACGAGCGTGCTGAGGCGTCCCTAGGCATGCCGAGGCGTCCTTAGACACCACCTTTCACAACAGTTTTATCTCTTCTTCAGAATGATCTTAACGCAAGCTTCTTGTAGAGCTTCTTCTTCTTCCCGAAGACGGCCATAGCGTCGAATAGACGTTCCGAAGGATGCCGACACGGCACGCCTAAACATTCCACGGCATTGTTTTTGTACCTACAACCTTCAGAATTGAAATTTCAACTTTATTTTTATACTCTTTAGTTATATTTTTATTCTTTGCCTAAAAATACCCTGCCATGCCGTGCCACCAATGTGCGCCGGCGCTTAGTTCCTAACAGACAGACGCAACACCACCAAACACACCATACCCATCTAATTAACACTAAGTTTAATTCTGTAGGGCGGATGTGATTGCCCAAAATAGGAGCTCTAATTCAAGTGGAAAACCATATAAAAAGTATAAAATCTTGAAAATTTGTAAACGTAAATATTAATCTTACCTCAGTAGGCGTCGATACTACACTTTTATTTTCATCCTGAAAATATTTAGAAAATATTTAAGCAACGTAAATGGAAGATGAAAATGCATACCTACTTTAAAAATATAGGTATGGTATCATAATAATTTAAAAGCTTAGTGTTTACAAATGGCGCGTCTACACAGAGCGAGCAGCCTCTATTTGTAAAATTAGGATCACTTGCACTCCATAGCCAGGTGTTTACACCATAGAGAGATATTAATTTCAAACACTGATCTTTATTCATAATTATTATGCTCGACCGAGGCACGAAACACAATACGCGAGCGTCCACAGTGCGCGCGGCCAACGACGGGGCGCAAAGGCGCCTCAAAGGAGCAAAACAAAAAACCGACAGTCGATGGCTCGGTCGCTCGCCCGCGGCAGCGCGCGCGCTTGCTCACTCTGCGCCTATTGAACATTAACAGTTGACATTCCATCTACATTCTTTATAGTGGCATGTTATTTAATGCATACTTACAACAGGTGTGTCTATTTTCTTCTCACAGTCAGACTCATTATCTAATTTTAGTTCAAGACTCTTCAATGCTTTCTTTTCCTTATGTTTTTTTGCCTTTTTCTTTGGTGGTTCATATTCTTCAGTCTCCTCTTTCTTCACAGGGCTATTCTCTATATGATCTTCTAACGAGAACATTTTTATAGAAGATAGCTCTTCAGGTGGCATACTGGTAGGCAGTTTACATCCCATATTTGTGAAAGTACTAATGCATTTTTGAGCTTCTTCTGGCTGACTAAACTCTATAAAAGCATAGCCCTGAAACGGATAATAATTTCCATTTGTATATCTAAATACACGAGTGTAATTTTGATTCTATTTACTGATTTAGATCAGCCAAAAGTTTCCGCATAGCAAGAGCAACATAGAATCAATTACCAAGCTCAATTCATTATTGTTGAAGAAGTTGGGTAAGGAGCAAGAGTTATTTAGTTATATGCTTGACAGTGATTTTTTTCCTTGCATGAGGTGTATTTACTTGTAATTGCTTATTATAGTTAGATCTTAGAAAAAGAATATTTTGTTTGTATTAATGTAAATAAGCATTTGGCTAATCCAATTTATAAATAGAATAAGTTATTACATATTATTATTAATTTTTAATATATGTATAGTGCTCCAGTCCAAAAGCTGAAGGCGAACTGACATAGTGGCATTTTTGTAAAAGAACTGCAACACTTGGAAGTACCGACCCATACGATATTAGGCATCAATGGAGAAACTGAATCATGGCACAGTTAGAATTGAAGGCTTTTTCATAGTCCAGAAATGCTATGCTAGTGGAAGGTTATATGACAGGGTTGGATAGTTTCTGAAGAGCTTTCAGGACCACTTGTCCATCTGTTTTCAGAAGCATTGCTGTAACTCCGTCATCGCTCAGTGCCTAATCATTTTTTTTAGCTGTGTGAGAGCTACACTAATCTTGACAATCTCATATTAGCTGATGTATGGGTTTTCTTCAGTGTAGTGTCTGCTTAATTTAGCTCTTGGATCAATAGATTAACTCTCACCCTAACTGCTCTAGTTGTTGTACCTAGTTAATACTTTTTGCTGATTCATGTATGACTTCAGGAACTCTATCATGGCAACGTAAGTATTGAAAACCCTATCAAAGAGCACCTTGCAACCTACCAATATGTGCCTAGTACCTATTGCCACACCACAGGTATAGCACAATTTTTCAGAGGCTTCCCTTCGTCTTACTAATTGACTCTGGTCTGGGTGAGGCTTTTTCCGATCTTACTAGGTTACTCTAATTAAAAAAAATTTTTTATGAATTTTGAAAAACTAATAATATTTATTTGATTTTATTTTTTATTTTATAAATCTAATCCCAATTTTCTACTAAGTAATACACATTAAAATAGATTTACCTTGATTTTTTTGGAATTTTTGAATTTTGGAAGTGAGATGTATGCAACTCTGCCAAACTCTGAAAATACTTTCTCAAGCCACTCCCTGCTGGCAGTAACTGGAATAGATTCAACATAAACTGTTCTGGCATCAGCATCATAAGGTAATACAGGGGATTTTCTCTTCACCTGAAATTTTTTATCACATGATAATAAGCATTTTGTAGGTTTTACAGTAATGTACTATTTAGTAGGTATATTGTCTAAAAAAATACATAATTATTATCGTTATAACTCTGTTGTGATGGATGAATCCTTACTAATATTATAAAGGCGAAAGTTTGTTTGGATGGATGTATGGATGGATGTTTGTTCCTCTTTCACGCAAAAACTACTAAACGGATTTTAATGAAACTTTACAGTAATGTAGCTTATAGATCAGAATAACACATAGGCTATAATTTATAAAGATATTGTGTGAATTGTCCAAAATATAACGATAAATGTCATTTAAGTCTGAAAAAATTCTGCAATCTGCGAGCTATTCAGGCGTGTGCTGCAAAAACAGTTAGTGCTACATGTATATAATGTATGGTGAAAATATTTATCTTAAATAGTCCTACAAAAAATTCTGCGACACCATATATATCTATCTTTTATGAGTAAGCCATTATTGTCAAAATAGTGAACCATAAATACAATAAAAATTGATAATTTATTTCTAATGCACATTTGGTAGTAATAAATGGATCCTTATCAAAATGAATACTTTTATCGCTTTTGGTATTTAAAGGAGATAAATTTTGTCCTTCACAATACATCATTTGGACAAATATTTTAATAGTTACGACGATGACAAACCGAACGCGAGACTATGGTATTTGGGCACGCCATGTTTTTCTCACGGTCAGCTCTATGTGGCTTGCTCACGTGTTTCCAAAGCGAAAAATCTGCATGTTTATGCTGAAGGAAAAAAATCGCTAAATATAGTTTATAGAAGCATACTGCAGTAGCTACCTATAGGCCTATGATTAGGGGTTTGCAGTGCTTAATTACTGTATTTCTTATGTTGACAATATTGTTACGTTATTACAGTGCGAATGTAACATCTCAATATTGTCAGACTGTTATATTTTTCAAATACGACCCAAAAATTATGTATGTTATAATTTTAATGTCATAATGTTAGTTCTTTTCACGCTAATATAAGCTACTCGAAATACTAATACTGCGCACACGAAGTCGCGGGCACCAGTTATTGATACATAAAGACCTTGCTTTTATTCGAATTACACGCAGACGAAGTCGCGGGCAAAAGCTAGTATAATATAAACGTATTTTTGACTTTTATTTTGATACAAACCAACCTTAAGCTTGTCATCTGATAACTCCAATAAAGTAGAATTCTTCATGGCTTTTGCTATGATAAACACATCAGTGGTAAATGCACGAATTTGGTTAAACTTCAGAAATGTCTCTATTGGTACGTAGGGGTCGTTCTTAACAAGGTCTCCTAAGAATCTATCTTTTGTTAAATTGGCATCACTAAAATAAAACTCCATTTGTTTGAGAATGTTTTCGTATAACTTTTTCTTGCGGTGGCGAACTCTTTTCCTAAGTCTGTTGTCATTTTTCTCTCCACCAGTTGCTTCTGATTCGGACATTATGTTTAGGTTACACTTAATAATCAAAATGAACAGCAAAACTTTTCGTAGGTATTATAACAATTTTACTATTCTGGACTGAGCAAGTAATTTAGGCGCGGGCCGCAACGACCAACAACATAATTGACAAATAACGTTGACATTATGATGTCAAATTCAACATTGGTCAATTCTGATTACGTTCTGTAACATCCTTGTCAAGGGGAGTGCTAACCGTCTCTCCTTTCAATAGACACTTTCTGTAACATCGCCCGCAAGAGTAGGGATTCTTTGTATTCATAAATCAAGCATGTTATGAGAGAAATGGATTATTAAAATGGTTCATGTAGTTTTTATTATTTTTTCGTAGCACTTTCTTTTATTTTTACATATGCTCTAAGGTATACGTCATTATATATTTTTTATCTGTTCCATAATTTAATTGAATCATCGTTTATTCAATCGATTAATCATACTCTTGAAATTGAAATGTCGATAGACTGTATAATTCGTAGCACCTCACTACTTCACATCACACATTTTGATTTGACATTTCCTTCCCAGTTTTTTGGTGGCTGCACCGTGGAATACATAACCATGTCAGAAGATTTGTCGATGAACTAAATAGAAGGCGAATCCAATAATACAATGTTGATTTAATATGCTATTTGTTTATAATTTCCTATTGTGCTATTGTTTTTCAACGTTTTTAGTGTGGTCCATACATAGGTTCAACACCGATAGATTTCGTTGATAGATTTGTGCTGTGCATTCAGTCAGAGGACAGGAACATGACGGATTTTATTTGCGATAGTGTTATTTTCGTATAATTGTGATTGTTTTCAACAATGAGTGCGGGTGGGAGATCAGCTAACATCACCTTAAGGCCTCTTGAAGTGCCGAAGGTTTTACAAGAGGGTGAGAAATTCATCAAATGGGATGAGGTATGGTCTTACTCCACATATTTGCCTGTAGACCAAAATATTAACTTCAAAAAGATTTGTTTTGCCAACTACATCAAAATTACCCTTTAATGGGTCTGTAACAAATCAGAGGTAAAATGTAAATGAATAGATCACCATCCTTAGACTTTTGATGTCTCCAAAGTGGCAAAAGTCAACAGGCAACAGTCCTTAGGACTTACTAATAGAATCACATCAGGAGAAATATTTGTGATCAAATGCATGCTGAAAATGTTATTGCTATTAAATTGATAAAGACTGAGTTATCATGGATAAATAAGGTGCTATGTTTTAAGTTTCTTAAAAATAATTATTTCATTATTAGGATTCCGGCACGGGCCTGCCAGTTACGCTTCGTGTGGACCCTAAAGGGTACTACATCTATTGGACAGATCAGAACATGGAAGTGGAGCTCTTGGATATAGCAACTATCCGAGATGTGAGGACTGGTGTCCATGCCAAAGTCCCCAAGGTCAGTAGTATTTATATTTTATTTAAGGTGGTTTCAAATGTAAGTTATATAAATTATTGGATCGTAAATCATAGTCACAGTTTACTATAGTAAAATTAAAAGCAACATACTTGTTTGTCAAAAAAATATGATAACCATAAAAACAATCATTGATGGGCTTATGATATACTATCTATTGATTTACATATTTATTTTTAACAAACTTTCTACAGCAATTTTTGTGCATACAGTTCTATTTGATAAGGACAATATAACTAAAAATATTTCTGAATAATGATAAGGAACAGGATTGAAGATGGTATACTACTTTATTCCTGTGTAAGGCACAAGAAAAAAGTTTTTTTTTTAAATTATTGAGTAATTTTTTTTTATTTGTGTTTATAGTATGTGTTGATTAGAGTCACTATCCACTTAAAGTATAAAAACTTGAAAATACTGCTAAATTTAAATAATATACATACTCTGGATAATTTCAAACTTTATTATAACTCGGCAGCTTTATATATTTGGTTTAAGGAATTTTTTAAAAGTAAACGTTTGAAGTTTTATGATAGGACAAGAATAACACAGAGGGGATAGAACCAATCTGGTCTATTGACCCAGCAAAATGACAAGTGGCATGGTACCCTAAAGTGTCACATTACAGAGATATTTGGAGCTTAAGATTGACATTTATATGGTCCAATCATGTTTGTTGTCCTGTACTCCTAACATGCTCTCTACATTAGCCGGATATTTCAGTATTTGATCTGTCTATGTGCACATAATTTTAAGTCCTAATCATCTAAACTGAGTAGGGCCCTGAATGGTTTACATTCACAGCTGGGCTCAGTAAGTATTGCTGATGTTCTAGGATTTTTTGTCGGAAAAATATCACTTGTTTCCCTAGTTTTTCTCTGTTTTACTCCAGTCATGCTCAGGTGCATATAAAAAAGTAGTACATTTACCTGTATCTTACAAATTAAAAAAAAAAAATACTATTTAAGATAGCAATATAAATTGTTAACTGCTTTAACCCTGTTATGCCAATCAATTATACAGACAATTGTGAGGGGCCAAGAGATCAATTAAAACCCACACAATTTAACACAGATTGTTTGACATTAGTTAGCACATTCAAGGTTCAAATTCACATGAACTGCAATTATAGTGATGAATCACTCTTACGTTGTGATTTTGAATCCTTATTATATATTTTTATCCTTATTAGATAGACAAAGTCTATTGGCTAATTGACATTTCGGAAAGTGTTATAGGTAATGAACTGGCATTCTTTACTTATAATGAATTCCTGTTTCTAAAGCCGCCTATTCATATTGGCCAAGGGAAGGGCAATACCAATGTATAGGCAGCATATTTGCATTGTCTTATCATCGCTTGGTGTCGCTTGCCTTATTTGCCGAGTAAGGGAAGCACCAACGTGTAAAGACCTCCTTTATCATTGCTTGTACGCACTCGCTGTCACTCACCACCACTTCGGATCGGTGTCACTTTTTCATGAAATAGTATGTGGCAAAAAGTCATCTCGTTTTATTCTATTTCTGTGAATACTTAGCATCCACCACCTTCTTGACACAATAATTCTACGCGCTTATTAACATAGATAGACCGACCCATACATGTGATTTGCCGCAATGATATCTACGTCGTCCATTATTACTGATAGCGCACCAATGTATGGGCAAATTCACAAAGCTCGTCTTTATTGGCTACTTGCATTGGTCTTTTTTGAACTTGCACAACGTCTAGACTAGACGGTAGCAAAACCTGCAACAAACTAGGAGCAACTTATGTCACATTCAACACTAGTTTTATGCCCCCTCTACACGTCGACAGATACATCTGCAGATGCCATCTGCGGATGCGTCCGTCGACGTGTAGACGGGGTAGTTTGCGCGTCTGTGGTAGGTATTTGACGTCCTTAGATGCGTCTGCCATCAATCCGCTTTGTCGGTTTTTGTGGCACGCAACAAAAGGATTCAGGCGGACATCCGGCGTGCCTGTCCACACGTCTGTCGACCATAAAGGTATAAGACTAGAGTAGGGGAGATATAGATTCAACTACAAGTGGAAGTGTCCCTCTAATAGAGAAAGAAAGAAGATGAGAGACCGCTAGCTTTCTCTCTCTAACCGCGCGAGCGCATTGGCAACCGTAAGCATCTTACTATTCCGATGTGATGCCATTGGATGCCATGCGTCACAAGAGAGAGAGATAGCTAGCGGTCTCTCATCTTCTTTCTCTTTCTACTAGACGGACACTTTAAGAACCGCCTTCCCCACTCCATTCTTGATTGAACCTCTATGCTCGACGCATCAGTGGTACCTATCGAAGTTGCGAAGGAGAGTCCACGCGTGTTTTTTTTCGTGTGTCTTACTCTCCTTTGCTAAAATGGCTAATATGAATACTGAGGAAACATTTCTCGAATTATAATTTTAAATTATAATTTATTTTAAAATATCCATTTTTGAATCTTGTTCTCAGGCTTGTATTATGCACAACGACATTCATCTATGATTCTTATACCTGCATGCAAAGTCTCAGCCCGATCGGTTTAAAATTGACAAAGTTTCATACAAACTTTTATTCCCTATTTTATCCTCTTGGGGGTAGAATTGATCAAAATCCTTTCTTAACGGATGCCTACGTCATAACATCTACCTGCATGCCAAATTTCAGCCCGATCCGTCCAGTGGTTTGGGCTGTGCGTTCCTTCGAATCGTCACCTTTGAGTTTTATATATATAGATTGAAACATCAGGGTAAAAAGTTGCATTGACAGCGTAGGTTTGGGACGCAGCCCTGTGCGTGCGCATCCGCAAATGGTCTTGTAACGAGTCTTTTTGTATACATATTTGGTGATATAGGTTGTATTTTTTTAGATCTAAAAAATGCCTTTCAACAACCAACTATGACTAACTCTGAAAAGGGCCTTAGACTTCAAGCAACGTTTGCTCTGAGATTACAGAACAAATAGCGTCTGCTGGTATCGGTAGCAATGATTATAAAGAGTGACACTGGACCTTTGCCTGACTGATGCTGAGCTCGAAACTAAACCTGGTTACACTTAGAATTCCGAGCTTAACCCAAACCCATAAAAACCCGTTAGTATTACTTATTTTTTTTCAATTCGTTGGCTTAACCTCGCCTCATAGAGTCTGTCTAATGTGATGTGTAAATCGTGAACTTGTTTTTTATTTTTATGTTTTCAATACAGCAATATTAGAACTATCTTTGATGTTAGGAATTGGCGAGTTGTTGGGTACCCACACTTTCGTTTATTTGGGTATTTTATTTATTTTACTATTTTTATTAACTTGGCTGTTGGTTTCCTTCATAAAGTCTAGATAATGTAGAAATAAAAGAAAAGTTAAAACGTTTAAATTGATCCTTTAAAAATCTAGTGTAATAAACGAGATGTTGATGCGAGTAGAAATATTTAGAACAGATATCGTCGTGTAGGTATATCATATTTGGAATTTGCCTATAAATTATACCATAAAAATAATTTTCAATATGGTTTTAAGGTTATTCATTGTATGTTATCTACTATGTGCCTACAAAAAACCTTTCATTTTGTTTTCTTTTAAGGGTTTTAATAGTTAACTAGTATTTATTAAAAAATAATACTTAGCGATCCTTAAATCAACTCGCTGCAAACTCAAGTAGTGAATGACAACTCAGATGTGCATTTATGACAAGCATGGCATTGCGCAACTCACCCGTTTTTAAAAGTCGGTTAAAATGTTTCATTAATCTGTTAAATTAAAGTATCAAGTCTATTTTGTCCGTAACAAGTCGGTGTTTGCAGCTACATAATTTTTAGTCCGC